TTAAAAAAACAGGAGGCCAAAGGAGGACAGGCTGTCTTCCCTCCGTGTCTCAGCGCCCCTCCCTCCGCTCTCGGGCATACATGTTTAAGGGCTAAAGGTTTGCAAGCAGCTATCCAGGATGGACGGGGGGGATTTGTGTTCCTCCAGTGCGAACGCGGCCGACCGCAGAGCTCGCTGTTAGTTCTGGCAGTTTAGAAGGGATGCCTCTGGGACTGTGCTTGTCTTTAAGAGTCTTTGCAGAGACTTTGCCAACATGAATTAATGGAGGATGAGCTGAGAGGCTTTTTTCTTCAATTTAAGGAGACTGCTTGTCATTTTTTGTGGCAGTTTTTATTTTTGTCTCTCTCTCACAAACAAGGGAACAAACAGAAAGAGAAATAAGCGTGCACACACAAACATGCACCCTCCTGCACGGTAACAGCAGATCCCCAGTGGTGGTGTGCTGGCCGTAGGTGGGGGGGGCTACTAATATTGACAGTGTTGGCGTTGTCTGGCCTATTGCCAGTGTTGAGCTAGCTCTGGCTGGCTGCTGTGGCCTCCTATAAATCAGGGCCAATTACCACGGTGGTGCACACAGCCGCCTCTCCTCCAGTCGCAGCCCTGCCCTGCAGAGTGCAGGGAGGCAGGGAAGCCACAGCCCTGCTCTGTCCAATTAGTGCCACGGCCGCCCTCTGCTCTCTTTGGAAAACACTGTGCGCTCACGTGGTATGTTTTTATACAAGTACGGAAAACACCTTATCCAAAGATATGGTCAACTTCCCCCGTGCCATCTGCACACAGGGTGCCCTGTGACACATGGTGTTGAAATGTTTAATGCAAATGTAATAACATTGGAGTTATTGCTTTTTTTTTTTAGTAGTTTTCTTTTTTTTGATTAACTGAAGTGTTCCTTCGTGGGTTAAGAAACCTCTCCCACTTCTAAAGTTGACTTGAACCATTAATCACACGTATATCTGTGCATAAGGGCTTCATACAGTGTGCAGATGCTGTACAAACAGAACACGAACATGTAAATAACAAGAAGGTACAAGTCTACGTATTACTGCTATGATCTGTGTAGAAAAACATAATGTGGGTGTGTGAATATCAGCCTATGTAACGTATGTCCGATTCATCATCTTCACCTAATATGCTCGTAAACATTGGCGGCTGGCGTACCACCCCCCCCCCCCCCCCCCAACACCCCCTTGCTCGGCTGGCTCAGTAAATTGGGCCTGTGTAAACCATTCTGCCCGTCTAAAATACAGTGCGGCAAATTGAAATCCCCAGTAAGCCTCTGTAGCAGCATGTCACAGCTGGGTGGGGAGGCGGGAGAAAGGAGGTTTTTTTTCTCATTTACCACCTGGAGGCTTTTGAAGTGTCATAACCAGCTATTCTCCCGCACTCTCTTCCATTCCTCTCTTTAACTCCTGTGTTTTCCTCTCTTTGTCACTCCGTCCCTCCCTTCCCTCGCTGCAATACCCCCTTTGTCAAGTGTTGCATTCAACCCTCATCATTCTGACTCACGAGGCCCTGTATGTATTATGGATTTGAAAAAGCCGGATCCTGCAGGCTGACAGGCTGACAGGCTGACAGGCTGAGGGTAAACAGCAGTCACGGAACCGTCCGGAAACAGAAAACGAGCTCGGTCATTAACCCCCAGTGGGGGCGGCAGGAGGAAGCCGAGGGAGAATTTGATTAGAAACAACAAGAAACAACAACAACAACAACAACAACAGGGAAACAGTTTGGGTTTGAATGCATGTGCGCTTGCTCATTTCACTCCCACGCTTCTAAAAGTTCGCCAAACGTACATTACACATGTAGACACACACACACAAGCATATGAAGAGCCTGCTCTTTAGGCAGGTTTTCTTTTTGCCATTTTGCTTCTCCAACTTGTTCATTTCTCTAACGTGTAAGAGAAAGTCCCTCGATACGTTTTTGCCAGATAAAAACAAAAAAATACCGTTGAATCCACAAGTTCGATGTTAACCCCCCCCCCCCAGTGGCCCATTCCTCTGAGATCTTCGGCACCCATTCCCTTCTCCCCTTCTCGTTCCCGGGGGACTCGAACCTCCCTCTCTGTCTTCTCGCCCCAACACTGTAAGTAATGGGCCGGTTTTGACCCTCCATGCCTCATTGTGTAAGATTTCAGCTTCTGACCTTAAAAAATGAAAGCAAATCGATAGGGCGGGGACACATGAATTCCAAAGCCCAGGACGCAAGCCAAGGCTGGAGCCCAGGGAGGAGCAGGAGGAGGAGGAGGAGGTGAGGAGGAGGAGGAGGGCTGTGTGTATTACTGAAGGGCTAAAACAAAGGAAGAAAGAAAGAGGCTTTCAATTAACCTTCAGCGCTGACAGCAACTCTGTGTAGCTCCTCGCATTTGTGCTGGCGAATTTCTTTGTGTCGCACAGTTATGTAAAGTACTCTGTGCGTTTAATGTTAGCTACAAGTGGACTAAGGGAAAATAAAACGAAGGGGGGGGGGGGGGGGGGGGCGTAAGGTGAAAGCCTCAAAGTCGAGGCTGGAACTGCAGCTGCGCACATTCCAGTGACTTTGAGTGGGAGAAAATAACTCCCATGGAGCACTGGAGAGATTAAGATTCTGCTATTCTACTGCCACTGCAGGATAACGTGAGCAACCGGAGACTAGCTGTGATCGTAGCCCCCCCCCCCCCCCCCCACACACACACACACACACACACACACACACTACCAAAGCAGTGTGAGACGCGATCTCTGCTGGAGATGGGGGGGGAATCCTGTGTTTGGACAATTAAAGTTACATTTAGTCACAAACACAGCAACTTTAGATGTGAACTTTACAGCTGTGGGATTGAAGTTACAGTGAGTTGAGACTTGAAGACTAAATCTTGAACTGCCATGTTTAACTCTTCTGTATTAGAAAGCAGGGGGTGAGGGGGGGAGTGGGGGGTGAGGGGGGGAGTGGGGGGTGGGGGGGCAGGAAGCAAGGGATTTTGCAGAATATGAACCAAGGACGTTGTGGCTCATTGTAGACGTCGTAACCCTGAAGCCCCGGGGCGGCCCTCAGCTCGCAAGTTTTGACCTGGTAGAAATCCAGAACAATAATAAACCAAGTAATTGAACAATGAAAGGCCTTATATAGCCACACATAATGCATATTTAATGATTAGGCCTAGCCATAGGAAGGAGTTAAATGGTCTCAGATATGTAGAAAACTGTTAACAGCAACAAAAAACTAAATTGTTTAAAAAAGTTGATTAGTTGCCTGGTCAATAAAATGTTAGTCAATCAGTTTCCCAAAGCCCAACATTTACATCCACAATTTACTGTCACAGAGATTTAACGAAACCAGAAAATATTCACATTTAAGCAGTTAGAATCCGAGAAATATTTTTTTTCCAAGAAATTACACAAAATATTTGGTGATTATTTTAACAGTAGACAGCTAATTGATTAATCGATTAATCGTTGCAGCTCTACTGGCGAAGGTGTCCTGGACACGGCCTCTGTGTTATCACGTGTGTGTGTGTGTGTGTGTGTGTGTGTGTGTGTGTGTGTGTGTGTGTGTGTGTGCGTCCAGCACAGTGAGTGGCTGCCCATCAGTTCCACTTAGCTCAGCGTGGTAATTGGCCGTCCATTGATGGACTTGGCTCCCTCTTCACGCTCCAGGGACCCCGGCTCTTTGTTTGAGGAGCGGGAGGCAACACGCTGGCACGGCGCACACGCTTAAAATAGCGCATCAAATCAGCCATGCTTCGGCAGCCGCTGCTAACGTGTGGGGCGGATTGGAGGGCTAATGGTGTGTGTGTGTGTGTGTTTCTACCGCATGGTATGGGGTCCTTAGGTTCTCTCTGGGGAGGATAAGGGGTTAAGATGGTTAACTGGAGCCGGTGGTGGTATTTAGTCATGTCCCCTTCTCTCCCTCACCATTTTATTTTTTTATTTTCTCCGTTTCATCCATCACTCACTTACTTTATTGCAGTGTGCGTCGTCTCTCTCTCTCTCTTCCCTCCTCGCTCACTCTCTTCTACTGTAGTGTCTCTCTCTCTCTCTCTCCCTCCTTTTCCGCTCATGCCCACAGGGCCCCGCTTCTCTCTTCCTGTCACTATGTGCAGTGTCCCTGCAATAGAGATATAAATGGGCTGTGAGCAGGGGGCCCTGACTCCTACACCATAAATCTACACTAACAGCACAACAGGCACACGAGGAGAGCAGGGGAGGAGGGAAAGAGAGGGAGAGGGAAATAAAGGGAGGAATCGCATAGCTGAAACATTTTGAACACATTCTGGAAGATGGAGATTATTCTGGAAAGAAAGGCGACGGATCGCACGCCCTTGGAGGTGCATATTGTTTTACAGCTGGTCTTGAGTGTGTGACTAGTAAGCAGGAAGTTGCCTTCCTTTAAAATCCGTGTCAGCTGCCGGAAGCCCTATGAACTGTCATTTCGACGCGTGGCCTTGGTGAAATGTTTATTTAAAATCGAAATAAAATGTAGAAATGTTTGCACTCTTGACTCCAGTCTCATGTTGTAAGAAAAAAAAAAGACTTACTCACTGACGAAGAGCTTCAGATGCAATTCATTGCAATGTACCGCCCAAGGGTCGCTGACAAAAGGTGGAGAAAGTGAAGTAAAAGTATTCAGCATCGAATGTGTCCTCTCCTCTGGGGAGCTTTTATTCGACTATTTTGTCATTGAGCGCAAGTGTTCTTCATATTCAAGGCTGAGGGTAGATGTGTGTTTTCTTTGACTCATTAGTTTCTGCCGTTGGGTTGAGTGTTTTCATGTCTTGGCGACCCTGAAGCGACCCTGATCCCACAGATACTGCAATGACATTGAAGTGATGGTGCCTGCTATTTCTTCAAAAAAGATTTATTTTTCCCACTCCTTCTCACACTTTCTTCTGCTCTCTCAGATATTTCATTTATTTTTCTCACCTCACCTCGCGTGTCTTAAAAATGAAATCTATTTTTTTTTTTTTTTTTAGCTGTTGGTGTTAAATCTTTTCTCTCTCTCTCTGTTTTTTTCCCCCCCAGCAGTCCTATGCTCCACCCCCTCATCCCATGGCTCCTCCCAGCCCAAGCACCAACAGCTGCAGCCAGGGAGGGGCGGAGCAGCTGAGTAAGACCAACCTGTACATCCGAGGCCTGCCACCTGGGACCACCGACCAGGACCTCATCAAACTCTGCCAACCGTGAGTACCGTTAAATACAGAGGTCCCCCTGTCGCACTTGTCCATGCCACTGCGGGGTGTAATTGGCCGTGATGTGCTTTTCAAGCCTGTATGCATTTAGCAATACATGGTGTATATATGTATGTATATGTATATGTAGGTATGTATATGTATATGTGTGTATGTATATGTATATGTGTGTATATATATGTATATGTGTGTATATATGTAT